TGTGTGTTTCGGGGACGGCATCTTAAGGGCTCTGGGAGGATGGATTTCTCGCTGCCTCCAGGGGAGGAACAAGAACTCTGTTGTCCAGCTCTTTTTACTTCCATCGTCAAGTTTGACCTGTTAGAATCAACAACATCCCATGAACCACAGAGAGAAGGGGAATGGGGTTCAAAGAGGCCTTCTCCCTCCCTTGGGCATTCTCACCAGAAAAGGCATGCCCTTTTATTCCTGTCCTACAACCTGTGGGTGTGGGTTGGTTGTCACTTCGGAATGGTTTCAGCCTGGAATCTTCCCGCCTCGGAGCTACCAGGTGGCCAGCCTATTAACAATAGCAACAACAACAACAACTGACATTTATTGAGGACTTCTATGTGCTGAGGCACTGGGCCACCAGCTTTATACACTACATCTTATTTAATCTTCACATGGCTCATTTCCCAGAAGGGGCCCTTCAGATTCCCCGAGGTCAAGCAGCTAGCTCCAGGCCACAGCATGGAAGAGTGCCAGAGTGGGGATTTGACCCAGGGTAGGCTTGCTCAAGCACCTGCAGGAGTCGGTGTGATAGCAGCAAAACCAAGAGGACCTACTTCCTAGCGATATTGTGAAAAGTGGTTGAGAAAATGCATGTAGAACATGTAGCATAGGACCTGGTACATAGTCCTATCTTCTTAAATACTACTCCACCTTCAAGGATCTTTCCGCCAGTTTCTTCCTACTCGCAGCAGCTGACTTCTCCCACATGTGGCTTCTGCTTCCTCTCAGAGTCATCTATCCATGGCTTCTCCTCAGGGCGTGGGTCACTGCCTTCTCCCTAGGGGTCCTGCTTTAGGACTGACATGAAGGATTTGATTTAACTACTCTCCAGGCCTGGGCGCCCCCGCTGGCTACCCATAAGATCACCCGTGGCCACTGGCCACCCAGGGAACACTGCCCAAGTCAAGCGTTGGCCCTGTGCCCAGGCGATTGTGGGCAGGGCAGCAGGATGATAGGGATGAAGTGTGAAGGGACTGTGTGCAAAATGGTGGGCATGAGTAGAAGCATGCCCAGGGCCAAAAGACTGCAGGCTGGCCTTCAAGGAAGCCGGTATATCCTTCTGGTTAACTGCAAAGGCTTTGGAGAAAGACAACTCCGACATTGGGTCTAGACTGTGCTGTTTATTAGCTGTGTGAAAGTGGGAAAATCATTTCGTTTTCCCAATATTCAGTTTCTTCTTCTGTTAAATGGGTGTACAATAGCACCCACCTTGGTTTGTAGATTTACGTGAAAGAATGTAGAGTCCTTAGCACAAGGTACACAGATTGCTGTCCTTCTGTCATTGCTATTATTAATAAGGTGAGCTCACAGCTCAGATTGAACACAATTCCAGAGGTTTTCTTATGGGCAGAATAGTTGTGAAGGCAGCATACTTCTGTATAAATCCTGATTTCATATGTACTGGCTGGGTTATTGGGAAAGTTACCTAAACTCATTACTCTAAAATGGAAACAATATCCAACTCAGAGAGTTAATGTGAGAAGTAAAAAAGAAGAAAAAAAAAAAAAACAGAACAGAAAGAATCCATGCAAAGTGCTTAGCAGAGACCCCATCATTGGTAACTGTGGCTCTGATTGTTATTGATTTTATAGATCCTACTGAGCATCACAGATGAGATGCAGGAAGTGTTAGGTTGAGATTTGGTCATGAACTTTGTTTTCAACAATTCAGGTTCATTGTTGAGAGTAACAGAGAGTTGAGTATGTTTTCATTCTAGTTTACTTCAGCATATTAGTGCTTAGGCTTTAAGTAGAGTTATTTTTTAGTATATGTGCTGCCGAAGCGAGCGCTAAGTAGAGTTATTTTTTAAAGAGAAGACAAAAGGCATACTTTTCTAAACCCATACATGAGAAACCGAAGTTAAGTGATGTTATGATTCATGATTCCCAGTGAGTGGCTGTGGAAAAATCCAGAGAGAGGGAAGAACCTTGACTTACTGCCCCCATCGCCTGTCTGCCATCAGTACCCACCATTAGCACAGAGGATTGATCAATGCCTGGTTATTTGGCTGGCCTTTGAGAACCAGAGACAGGTTTAGGCTGACAATCAAAATAATGACTATTACTGAAACTACTGATAGCTTTGTTGCTTCCGAGAATTTGTAAAACTCCTCATTTTGGGATCACATTAGAGATTCCAAGATGCTTATAACATAAAATGACAGCCACTCAATGCATTTCCATACTTTAAGGGGAAAATATAGATATTTTTCAAAGGCATATTAGCAAATGCCAGAAGAGCAAAGCCAAAGAAATCTCACTTTTTGACATCCTGATTGGGAGGGTGGCGGGGGGATTTTATGGGACTTTCATCTTTTTGCCTTTACATGGTCCTGCCTACCTCAGAACTGGTTGCCAGCTGCAACTGGTCCTGTCTGCCCATTTTGCTGTTAGTTCCTGACTTCGGAAGAAGGATGAAGCAACACAAAGTGGTCTAAAGCAGCCACAACTGCTGTGTTCCTGTTGTGGCAGGCCCTGTGCTCCACACCTAACCACGCATTTGCCACTAAAGCCTTCAGCAACCCTGGGAAAGGGGCTACGCTGCTGGTATTGCACAGGCAAGGAAACAGAGATGTCAAAGTGACACGGACATGTCCCACATCCACACAGCTGGGAAGTGTCAAAGCCAGAGTCTGCATCCAACTGTGTGTGTATGTGAGTGAGTGTGCATGGGTGCGTGCTTGTGTGGGTATAGAAATCTTGTGATCCTGATACAAGGACACACTGTCTTCTTTGTTCAACAAACATTGAAGTGCCTAATGAATACCTGGCCCAGCTTCTTTACAAGTAATGCCCAATATAGCACATTTAGAGGTGCCCTGCCCACGCTCTTGGCCCACCCAGAATATATATACCTGCAGCTTTGGTGGACATTTACCACATATCCTGATCTTCCTACTTCTTTCATTCTCTGGACTTTCTCTGGCTGCAAGAGAGAGCTCAGTCCACCTACAAGGCCAGCTAGAAGTGCTAAAGTCTTAATGTCCACAGGAGCAACTTTCAACTAGTGAGAGGCTGGCATTGGTAAATAAACCTCCCAGGTTCCTCATCCCTGGGAGGGAACACCTCTGATGTGCAGGTATGCTCTATACAGTCTCTCAGCAGTTCCCAAGCAGAATTGAGCCCTAATCATTACCCAAAGCAATAACCTTCTAATCGACACTTCCTTTACTTGCCTCCTATTGTGTCTCAGGTAGGCCAAATGGGCATTTTCCCTGGACCAGCCACTCAATGGAGAAGTAGTTATGGATTATTCATTGTTCATCAAAAATTATAGGCAGTGGTACAGGTAAGATCTGGCCACTGTGCTTGAAGATTTTATAAACACACCCACACAATGGAGATGAGGTCACAGGTGGGCATGTGGCAGTTTGGAGGCTATTGCAGAAATCCAGGAGGGAAATGCTGGTGGCTTGGTTGAGGTCAATGGCAATGGGGTGGGTGTTGTCAAATTCTGGATGTATTTTGAAAGCAATGCAAAGAGGTTTTGCTGACAGGCCAGGTGTAAGACATGAGAGAAAGAGAAAAATCAAGGATGGTAGCACCAGTTCTTTCCCCCTGAGCAACTGGAAGAATGGAGTTATCGTTAACACAGATGGGAAGACTACAAGCAATAGGAGTTGAGAATTTGACCTTATGCATGGGATGCCTATTAGTCATCCACAGGAAGGTCTGGAGGAGAGAGCTGGAATGTAAGCTGGAAGCTCAGGGGAGAGGCCAGGGAGGAAGATTGGAGAGTAGATGAGATCATGGAGGGAGTCTCTAATTTCAAGGGAAGTACAGTCTAGTGGAGGAGACGGGCATTATTGAGTCATGCAAATAAGTCATCCTAGACCGTGATGAATTCTGGAAAAGGAAATTGCAATGACTGTCCTTTGGGGGACACAAGGATGCAGCAGACCCTGTCCTAAAGAGATTAAAAGGAGAGAGGCTTTTATACAAAAGAGGAACACAGCTATGTATCAGAAAACAAGAAAAAGCAGCTGATAACAGTGGGAAATGAGTCTAGAAAGGTGGGCATGAATCATGAAGGGCATTGACTGTCAAGAGGAAGAGTTTGGGCTTATCCTGTGGGCAGTGGGGTGTCACCAAAATGGGTGATTGACATGACTGGAGCTGACCATTAGGCAAGGTACTCTTGACATTGAAGAGGCAAGAGATGGGAAGCTGAAAGACCAGTCAGCAGGGCTTGGTAGGAGGAAGGGGAGGAAGAGATGGATGAGGAGATGGTTAAGGAGAAACACAATTTGACAACAGGTACCAAAATGTTAAGTGTGCATTTGTTAAGTACTACCACTTCAAGAAGAAGACTGGAAAAGAGGTGTATATCAGAGGTGCAAGTGTACGTAAGAGTGGTTACTGAAACACTGTCTATAAAAACTGAGCATAAAGGATCATCACTGAAAGACTGATTAAATAAACTGCAATCCACCCATAGAATGGCATGCTCTTTGGTGATTAAAAGGCATGATGTATATCTGCATTCATTGGCATGAAAGGAACACACAATTTATTGCTGAGTAAAAAAGACAGGCTGTGAAACAGCATTTGCCATTTAGCTCTATTTATCAAAATGATATCTTTCAAATACCATTCATGTACATACATCTAGGGAGACCCTTGAACATAATGTTCATCAGAATCTCAGTGATGGTTTTCTCTAGATGGTAAGATTCGATGGTGTGTTGTTTGTTTGCGGAGGAGGCAATTTATGTCTTTCTGGATAGCATAAATTTTCTGTCAAAAACTTGTAATAGTTTAAACAAAAGACATTTTCTGAGGAAGTCAAATAGACAGTACTTAAGTTCTTGCAGCATGGCCCCAGGTCTACAGTGTGAGCAGGTGGGTCAGCTGACCTCTTCTTTGGGTCTTTGAGCCACTCTCTGAGGGAACTTTGGTCTGGAGGATGGGGAGGGATGCCTGAGGTAGCATACTCAGATGGCCTGGTGACCTTCTCCCCTCTTCCAGGGTCTTCCTGAGAGCAATCAACAAGTTCGCAGAAACCATGAACCAGAAGTTCCTGGAACACACAAACTTTGAGTTCCAGGTGAGTGTGAGGCACCCAGGGTGTGCTTTGGGGTGCCATGGCAAGGTGGCTGTAGCATCTTGGGCTGATTACTCCATCAGACACATCGCAAAGCACACGTAAGATATGCCAGTGTCTCTGGGGGTTTCCACAGAGGGGGTGTGGGTGAGGAGGGAACCAGGCCCTTGATTGAAACTCAGGGTTTGGAACCAGGCCCTTGATTAAATAAATAATCATTAACTGAGCAGCATATGCAAATGTGACTGTATAATGTATCCTGTGCTAAAGAGGAGATTTGCATTCATCCATTGTCAGAGTGGGTACCACCTTCTAGAAACGTATCGCATTCTTTTACTGTTCTTACTCACTGGAGCCTAGCAAAACAGGTACTCGCAGACACTGAAAAATAAAAGCTCACTAATACATTTCTGGGACTTCATGATTCCTTCAGAAATCACTTTTAGGACTCAGACAAGACCTGGGGCCTCTGTGAGATTTGGGGGCCTCAAAGCATGTCCCTGGGGCAGTGACACACATGCTCAAGGCCTAGGCGAGAAGAGCCAATTCCTCAAAGCCTTGTGGAAAAGCCCAAATTGCTACCTCTGGCTGGTGATAGAGAAGGCCCCTGAAAGGGGATCTCTCCTCTGGGAAAGTCCCTGGCCCCCAGGATCTCTGGCAGTGCAAGCCTAGGAAGTTGCCAGTGAACTGAGGCAATGGTATTTTCTGCCTGCTCATCTAAGGTGTTCGGTTCCAAGCTAGGCTTTGGCCTGTGACTAGCTGAGCAACCTCAGACAAGGCCTGGACTGTGTCCATGCCTCAGTTGACTGATCAGTAGGATGCTCACAATACCTACTCTTTCTGTTTCATAGGGGTTTTGCAGAACTGGCATGTGTCAAGGGGCTTGCTGGGAGGATTCACTGTAAGGTTCTGCCGGTTTTCATTCAGATACTTCCTCCTGAAAGAGACCTCCCCTGACGAGTCCTCTTTGAGGATTCCCCACTGATCCCATGTTCATTATGTGTTACCACTTAACCTGTTGTAGTCTCTTCATAGCACTAAATATTATTTGAAATTATCATTCTTATTTGTCTACCAGCACAATTTTTTCTCTCTTTCCTCCGGTAAAGTGTGAGCTTCGTGAGTATGAAGACCTTCTATTGGCTTTGTGCCTGACACGTAGTAGGTCTCCCTGGTGAGATGCTGCCTGGGCTGAGGCCTATGAGACCCACTCTGCTGGAGAGCACCAGCCTAGAAGCATTTAATCAACATTATCTCCAAATAAGATTCTCTCCCACTATCTTGCATTCAAATAAGGCATCTGCACCATAATGATGACGATGATACGAAGAGTAGCTGCCATTTTATGATGACTTATGTGTGCAGATCTCATGAGAAGCATCCTCGGGCATTTTCTTTCTCAGCCCTGACAACCAGACTACAAGTTAGTTACTATTACTAGTCCTTCTTCTGCTGGAAGGATGCGGGAATGGAGAGCCGGAGGTGATGAGCAGCTAGCCTGACGTGCAGATAGTGACGCAGCATGGCAGTGCAGAGTGGAGACCAGAGCGCTGTGGTGGCTGACGTCCCAGCTGCAGATCACCACCGCCACGTGCCCGGTAGGGAGTCTCCCCTGCGCTGGCTTCACGGAGAGCTTCGGGCTGAGAGTTAATACATCTCTCAGGTGGAAACAAAACATGTCACTTTGGCTGTTTGAATCAGAAGAAATGTTTGATCCCCTTCCAAATGTGGACCAGATGCCTGCAGGCTTCAGGTACAAGATGTTCCAGGAAGCTAATAAGGACATTGCTTTTTTCGAGGGGCAGCTTGGAGCAACACACCTAAGGGCCAGCCGTGAGGCAGTGTTTGGGCCATAAAATTGATGGCTGGTTTGCCCATCTCTTTCTGAGGGTGGTGACACTTACAGCCTCAGACCTGGTTTCCCGACTCTGGCTGTCCTCCATGGTCTTAGGGGCTACTTTCCAAGAGAAGTGCGGCTTCCGTCTTTTCATGCCATTCTTATAGGTTTTATCCTGTTTCCCTGAAAGAAAATCTGCATCTGAGAGATGCCCAGAGAAGTGGGGGTTTCATACATAGAAGGTTTGAGCTTATGAGCTGTGTGGCTTTAGGCAAATTACTTTACTTCTCTGTGCCTCAGTCTCTTCAACATCAAATTAAAATACTAATTGCAGCTACCTCACTGGACTTTTGAGAGGATTAAGTGAACTAATTCATGTAAAGCACTTAGAACAGTGCCAGGAACATGGTAGCAATTTAATAAAATGTTAGCTCATTATAATAATTGTTATCATTTTAATGATGATGATGATGATGATGGTCCTAAAATATGTCAGGTCTGGAAACTCATATGTCAGTCCTTGATAAACAGGACAGTAGGAAGGCATCTTTCCGGTCGCCATGCATTGCTTAGGGCTGTCACACCCACAGGATTTTATAAAACAGGAAAATGGCCAATATTACAAAATGAAATAAGTCTCTTTTGCTAATGAGACCTCCATAGATATTTGCTGAAAAGTACTCAAGAACAGGATCATTTTTCTGCCTTATCTTTGTTCTTCTACCTTCTCCTCACCCCGTGCAAGAATGGATTTGTTCTCTGTACCCTGCCTGGAACACGCCTTGTTTCCTTCTAACAGTTTCATTAATTATGCATTTAATATCAGCAGGAACGGCATCCATCACTAAGAGCTGCTGGCCTTGGCAGCCACTGTCCAGAGGAGGGGCAGGTGCAATGAGATTATCCCTAATATCTTTTCTGGAACTGTGGTTTTATGATACAAAGAACAAAAAGCAAGAAGCTCTATGGGTGCCACTCTGCAGATGACAAGACCTGGGAATTACAGAAATGATGTTTTTCTGCCCAGGGCTAAAATAATTTGCATTCCCAACTCCCATTCGGGAGGCTGGGCCTTGGCATTCACATCCATTTGCTGGTCAGGGAAGACCAAGAGAGAGGATTTCAAATGCAACTCAGCAAGGATTTCTGTTTAAGAGCAATTCTCATAGGTCCAGACTATTGTTAACACGCTATGAGGAACTCAGAAGCAAAGCAGAACACTGCCCTGCCCTCAAGGATCTTAGAGTCATGATAGTAGGCTGTGAATCCATCTTCTAGATTCCAAGCTTTTCAAGGTGACTAACCTTTATTAGGCATCTCCTTAGGGCATAATCCTGTTGGGTTGGGATCTACCCATTTTACCAGTGAATAAACTGAGCTTCAGATAAGTGGTTGACTCTCCTGTTAAAGGTCATCTAAGCAGGAGCTGCTGGAATTCAGTCGCTGTCCTGTCTGCAAAGCCCAGGCCCTTTCCACTCTTCTGCCCTGTCTTTTAAAAACAGAGTGCCGGGGCGCCTGGGTGGCTCAGTTGGTTAAGCGACTGCCTTCGGCTCAGGTCATGATCCTGGAGTCCCTGGATCGAGTCCCGCATCGGGCTCCCTGCTCGGCGAGGAGCCTGCTTCTCCCTCTAACCCTCCCCCCTCTCATGTACTCTCTCTCTCTCTCTCATTCTCGCTCTCTCAAATAAATAAATAAATCTTTAAAAATAAATAAATAAATAAAATAAATAAAAACAGAGTGCCTTTCAAATCTAGGAGACAGCTCTATTTAGCTCCAGAGACACTGTCTGCCCTAGTTAGCTCTTGCTGGCCCTGGGATAGAGAGCTCTGCGATGATTGGCTGTGGGATTAGACTCTCCATATTGGGTACTCTGATTGGCCAGGAATCCATGGTTACACTTCCGATGTGCTCTTTGGCTCCAGGAAGATTGTTTCTGTCTTAAGCAGCTGTCTGATTACTACTAAGAACATTTTCTCTACTTGGGAAGCTGTAATTCGCTCTGCATTTGGTAATTCCAGCCTTGGCCTTGAGGCATTTCTGGATCAGCTTCTGGGCATCAGACTACCTTGGGATCATTTTTGAACCTGTACTGGAGACCCTGTGAAATGAAAAGGATATTCCAGGATATTCCCAGCTATTAATGGAGGACTGAGGGCAGGCTTGGTCTCTATAATAGGAAATGTAACTTGTAGTGGCAAAAAAGGTGAGAGAGGGAGCACATACCACGCAGAGTACCCATCAAAGCCTTGAAGAGGCTCACAGCACCCCCCAGGGAGGATCAGGTGGGACAACTTCACCACACAGAAAGATGGTCACATGCTTAAGGATAGCTTCTTTGGCCATAGCTTGAGGGCCCCAGACAACCTCTGACCTGATGTTCCTAACCCAAATCTATGATTGGAACCTTTCACTCCCAAAATCAGTGGCCTCCTTAGAATGCCCATGGCAGCCATGGCTTTGCAGCTCAGAGACATGTTAGCAACACTGTGCTGGGTGCTTTATTTTTTTTTAATGGAATTGGGGTAAATAATAATTTGCAGCTAATGTGAATCTTATAGGATCAAATCCTTGAGTGTCTGTTGTAAGGACTGTAAAAATTCAGATGACCCAGTGGAAACCTGGACCAACAACCAAGGCTAAAGGAAACTGAGAAAGGAAAGAAAAGCAATTTTTGCAGAAGAGCAGAGTGGTTAAGAATACAAGTTCTAGAGAGAGATGCATTTGGATTCAAATGCCAACCTTGCCATTTTGTAGCTGTGTCACCTTGGGCAAGTTATTTAACTTCTCTGGGCCTCAGTGTCCTGATCTCCAAAATGGGAGAATAATACTACAGAGATCATAGTGTCTAGGGAGGAGTTAACAAGAATGCAGGGGGGAGTGCTGGGCTCATTAATGAACTCATTCAACAAATGCTTGTGAGCACATGCTGAGTTAGACACAACGCTAAATACTGGATATACAACAGTGAATAAAAAGAGGGGGTTCTTGCCTGCAAGATGCTTATATCCATTAGAGGAGACAGGAAATAAATTAGTTCAGCTTAAAACATGTCATAAATCCTGCAGACAGGGCATGATGAAGGTGAAGGGGTGGATCTGCGTTAGGGCAGAAGTTGGGAAGGCTTCCCTGGGAAGTGATTTTTGGAAGGCAGCTAGGCTTACCACTAGACCACCACTGGCCATTTAGGAAGTGACTGTTGAACTGCGTTCGCAAGATGAAGTAGGAGTTTTCTCAACAGTGATTTCCTCCTCTGGTCCTTATAACTCCCTCCCTTTACATACTATTAGCCTCATTTTTCCAGCTGAGGAAATGGAGACTCAGAGGGGTAAGGCAACTGCCCATGCTAATAGAGCTGATAATTGGAGTGGAATCCTGGAAGGCAAACTTACAGTGTCTATTCAACAACAAAGACAACAAACAACCACAAATTCTGCATAGACCCCGTGTCTAAAGGATTCCAGCTCTAGGAATGTATACCATGTTACAGCCTCTCATGGACAAAAATGTATAAACAAACATGTTGATTACAGCACTGATGCCAAAGGAAAAAAAAAGTTGGACTCAATCTAAATAATTTGGAATAATCTAAATAAACAGGGAATTGGTTAAAATTAAAGTATATCCTTATAGCAGAATACCATGCAGCAATAAAAGGCAGTGAAGTAGATCTATATAGGCTAATATGGACACATCTGCAAGATATATTGGTGAGAGAAAAAAGCAAACTACAGCAGACTATTTTTGAACTGTCTATACATGTTTGTTTATACATAAAAAAATTTTGGAAAGGATATCCAGGGAACTGTTAAATTTTTTTTTTTTCTGGCAAATTAGACTAGGGTCCAAGGTAGGAT